CCGAAGTCGTCTGCCATATTAGTTGTCATGATTCCCAGCATCTGACAGTGGACTTGATACATTCTCAAACATTGACTCCACTAATCTCTTTGACGAGTTTGTAGCTTGGTTTCGGAGAATGGCAAAATTCACTGATGATGTCGACTACGATGCCGACGAAACGTTTGAGAATGTATCAAATCCACTGTCAGATGCTGGTAATCATGACAACGACTATAGCAGACGACTTCAGACTAGGTGCATTCTACATAGTCGCCCTGAGAACAAGACCAAGTTGCGACAACGAGGTCAACCCACTTCTATAAATCGAAAGGAGACTGCGACCATACCAAAGGCTACAACATATTGGTCTTTATCTCTTTAAAGATCATTTGTTTTTCGTTTTAAGTAGGCTTCTTTGTGGTGACTAATTTCCAAAGTCTATTGGCCATAGTTGCATGCCGCCATCTTGCATTTCCTATTTTACGTCAAAATTTCCACACTCTCCGCCCTTGCTTGTAACTAACTCTTTCCTTGACAAACTCCTTTCTCACTGCGGCTCCTTTCTATACAAGGTTGGGTAACCATGCATCTTGGCACGTAGGTTGGCATATCTTTGAAGTCAAATTACAAAATTCTCATTTCTTAAGGTAAATTCGTGTAAAGTTATATATTAAATTCTTTAAGTTTTGAAGTTCTTCTTTCCAGTGTGATTCAAATTGATCCAGAAGTCCCTCGGATCCACTGCTTGGGATAGGTTTGTTTGAGAATGGATTCGATCCAGCAATTTCTTTCCTCACTGCTGTTAGCTGGTTTTACGAGGGCCATTTAATGTAAAATTGCATCCGTTTTAGTAAGGAATCGGTATGTGATTCTTTCTTGAGGTCTTCTCTTCATCATGTTATGACCTCACAAATTCTTTGATCGTTACGTAGTTCTCAAATACCAGTTATTCGTATCGTTTTCCCTAGATAAATTGTCACTTCTGCACAAATAGTTCATTCATTATCCAATCTCTAGATTACAAAGGGCTTTTCATCTTAATTTTATTTAATTTCTTTGGAACATGAAATTGTAATCCTTTTTTAACGTTATATTTTTCTACTTTTAATGTTGCTCAGATATCAATTCATGATGATGAACGTTTTTTTAACGAATCCTCTGTATATACTGTTTTGTTGGTTGGCTAGTTTTTCATCAAATATATGCTTTATGGTTATTTTAGTTCCATTTATCTATTATGCTTTCACTTTTCTGAAGCTGGTTTGCTGCTGTCTTCTCTCATACTCATAAACCCGTCAATTAAAAGCATCGCTTTTAGTCTTCCTACTATTAAACTATTGCTTCGATGTTTTGGCAACATAGACCTCTATTTGGTAACTGTTTGCGAAATTTTGGTGCAACACTTCCTTCACGCCTTGACGATTATAAAATTTTTTTAGGTATTCGGAACCCACTGATCGAGTCATCTGTTACTCCATAAGCAGGGACTCAAAAATGGGCACTTCAGCCAAACAACCTTGTTTTAATTAGGATTTGGTGTTCAGTAACCCAATTTGTTTATTTAGTTCTACTAGGCGAATTGTCGATCTTTACCCAGTAGTCCCTACCATCCTATTTTCAAATTTTTATATTATGTTAACTCAATGATCTGATCTTTATAATCCTTCATTTACACTTTTCCCTCCACTCGCTCCCTCTTTGCCCGACCACCAAATCACTTTGCAGAATTCAGAAGCCCACATCTTCTCCATTCCGATGCCCGGTCACCCCCTTTCTACTCTATCCAGATCCTTTAGCCCTTCTTCCTCTTCTCAGTACAAGGCAGATAAGTCTTCGGCAAGATCCTCACCAACCTCACCGCAGGCATCGCCACCATCGGGGGACTCTGCTAAATGTTCTACTCCCCATCGGATTTGTTTAGAAATCTGCCAACGGCTTGATTTTTTGATTCGTGGTCATGATGTAATCTTTCTTCTCACAGATACTAGAGAATCACGCTGGTTGCCCACTCTTTTGGCGAATATCCATGCTAAGGTGAGTGGAACGTACTGGTTAAATGATCGAATGGAAGTATTGAAAAGCTTATATATATATATATATGGAGAGAGTGAGAGAGATTGGATATAAAAATTATCTTTTCTCTTGTCGGAGTAATTTATTGCATATATTCGATCACTTGGTCCGGAACTATGGGCAAAAGTTTTTTTGCTTAACTTAAGGTGAAATAGCGAAGAAAATCTTTAAGTTTTTATTTTTTTTCACTTCTTGTAAAGCTTTTTAATTGATGGTCTAAAGTAGTTGTCAGCAATTTTGCGTGAGATAGCTTAACCTTGTGATTGTACGTTTTTCGCTAGCACAACCCAGTTTAGCATAAATATTCTCGCACATATATGATGCTTCTCCAACATTTTGTAGCCAGGCAATATTTTCCTTCTGTTATTTAAATTTATTTTTTTTTAATCATGGCGCAAATGACTAGACGAATACAGGCCGCTCCTATTAACAATTATTCATCAGGGCAGCTGAAATTAGAAATTGGCCTTTCGTAAAATAAGAGTTGGGGCCACCCTAGGTTGCTTGCTATTTAGTAAGTACTTTCTATTACTATACAAGGTAGAGCTGGTTCAAATAAAATAGTTATCGAATAGCTTTATTTTTTTCTTTCACCTTTTAAATATCACCTTCATCTTTTTAAGTATAACTTATGTGATAGTTTGTATCAAATTTTGGAATCTTCCTGGAAATTCATACTACGAATGAATCCTATTAATGATTGTATCTGACTTTTACAGTAGGATCCCGTCCTGTCTTTTGTCATGGCCCTTGTTCTTACGACAATGCCTCAGTAAGAAAGGTGCATGCCAATTAGTCAGACTACTCCTTCGATTGCTTACAACTCTATTTCATTTATGCATTCTATTTTGCGCCATTTAGCTTGTGATAAACGCGGCTCTCGGTTTTGACACATATCTTGTGATGCGGCACGGGATTCCACTCCAGCCGGGCATATCGCCCAGTTCGGCTACTGCTATCGAGGCGGATAGGATCGAAAAGACTAATGGATTGGCCAAAACCATCGACTCAGCGTCGTCCTCTTCGTCATCCTCAAACCACTCTCGACCATCATTACATTCGAAACGCATTCCAGGATATAGACTTGGATGTTATTTCTGCAATGATGTCGTCGGACCGTCTGACGTGAGCTTTTTGTGATGTTTATTACTGTTATTCATTAATGCCTCAATATAAGATCTATATATCTACCTAGTTACAGATAAATGAGCTTAATCGAAGGTATGAAGACCAAGATGGTGTGGCCTTTTGTGTGCTCGCAGTCTCCTTTCGTTGTATAGAAGTTGTTTGATCTTGTTTTGCAACTTGGTCT